AAATAATCGAGGGGAAGTGTAAAAGTTGTCCATGAAAACCCAGTGCCCTAATCTGTTGTACTTATCCATCAGTTCCATCACAACACTGTCTGCTAAACTTTTATCTGCCATTTGTCCCTCTTTGCCTGTGTAGATTTTAAATTTCAGACAGTATCCACTCACAGCTTCTGCCAGGACCCATAACTTGATACCCCACTTGACAGGTTTCTTGGGCATGTACTGAAGGCAACCAATTTGACATTTTGTGCCCAATTCGTCAATGGTTAGTTCCTTGTTAGGAGAGTAGTGTAAAGCAAAATATTTTAGTAGACAGTCTATGACAGGTCTAGCCTTAAAACGTTTTTTAGGATCAGTTCTAAGAAGAGCATTAGTGTTGTTATTGAAGTGTAAGTTAGTATGGATTGCTAAAAACCTGTCTCTAGAGAAGATGTTAGTAAACCATGGATTATGGAAAGGAATATAAGTAGACCAATAGTCAGAAAAAAGAGAGGGCTTGAGTCCCATGGCTATTGTTACTCTAATATATACCAAAATGTCTTCATGGGTAACATCTGTCCATCTTATGGTTTTCTTCTTTGGGGGTTCACCTTCCTGTTTTGGCTGTTTAGATTTTGCATATCAATTTGTTTCACTAACAATAACATTTAAAGTTTCAAATTAAAACAGAAGTTTAAACATATTGACAGCTGTATTAGTAAAGGTTACCCGTTGAGACACAGGTTCGTCTCTACTGAATGGAAGTACATGGGTAGGTTCTTCTTCTTCGGTGATTTGCACCCATGTCCAAGTGTCACTGCAGGTGAGAGGCCTCCTGCTGGGAAGAACCAGTCCTTGTAGATATTGTAGCTCTACCCCTTCCTTTACCCATCTTTGTCCTGCCTCTTCTCTGTGGTGGTGGTGCAGGTTACCTTGATGTACCTGGCCTGGGTGATTCCACATCCTCGTCTGATGAAGATCTTTCACCAACTATTTCCTGATCTGTCCATAAGACAGAATCAAGAAGAGCTGGCTCTAGATTTGGTTACCATCTGGTTTTATAGATAGATTCTGTCAGAGGCATTGACACATTAGCTGAAACTTCATCAATGTCAGACTCCTCTGACAGAATGCCTTCTTCATCAGACACATTTAGAAGAAACTGTATCTCTTCTTCACTGAGTTTTTCTTTTTCCTCAACTCTTTTGCTTTATTTTTTTAATGTGTCCATTTCTAGAAGAAAAAACAACATTAAATGTATATTACATGTATCTCCTGTTGTGTATTATTGCATATATATATACACACACATAGTGTATTCTCTGATGTGTATATTTGTTTTACATGTGTATATATGTAATCTGTTAATATGATGTGTATCACAGATATCAGAAGGAGTACATGATGTGCTAATATACAGAAACAACTACACTGGATTTTATCAACTAATATATATTGAAATTACTGAACAGATGTATATGTACTAAAATTATGATTACTTACTTTGAAGTAACCACCAAAAGCATTTTGCACACTCTGATCACCAGTTTGAAGAATGCAAAATACTTGTTAAAGAAGACTTTTGAAACCAAAACTAAAACAGTGTAGTAGATGGTAGTGGAACCTGAGTTTCTATTGGTTGGCAAATAAGTGTTGTAAAAGTGAGAGAGGATAGCATCATTTATAATAATGTGCCCAAATAACACCTTCATATACTTATGCTGCAAAATTCCACACACATCAAATGGGTGACCATAGTACTGAAACACCTGCTATGTAATTGGATAAGCCCAACTCTGAACCATATAATAAATGTTTTTACACATTCTAATTGCAATTTTATTATCTTTCTAATTTTTATTAAACATTATCTATAGTGTGAGACCTGGTCATTAGTTTGATAACATTATATCAACAACTCTATCCATATTGATAAGAGATGTTGGTGTCCTTATCACAGAACATAAAGAATGAATTGGTGATACAGCAGTATTTTTATGATTTATCTTTTGAGAAATATAATTGTTTAATCAAACTCAGTCTGAAAGTTAGTCATTTATAATCACCCTTTGCTTAAATAAGGCAAGTCAATTAACTATCCATTTGAGAACATTATGTCTAAAAATAAACTTTATGATTCATCTTGTCAAAAGCCTTCTGAAAGTTGAAGTCACAATTAAAGGTATGAAAATGTTTAAAAAAATTTCATGATGTCTTTCCATTATGTATTACCACTACCAGTAAGTACAGGCAGATACCAAGTAACATTACATCAAGCTTATTATGGTGGTGAAAAGCATAACTGCACTAACAAGTTGTCTGACTCTAAAACAACACGAACTTATGAGTGTGTTCTTTAAATGTTGAATACAGACTCAAAGACTTTTTAAAGTTGATTCATAAATATGCAAATGAAAGTTGTATTGGCTTTATATCAATGATATCAAAACATTTTTAAAACTTATTAGCCAGCTAAATTTTCTACTAGCTAGCTATCTTTTAGTCATATTGTATGCATGTTTACATAATGCACTGCAAGAGTAAGCAGCAGTGACATTTGTCCTTTAAGTTAAAAGTGATGAACTATTAGCTGTGTGAAACTATAGAGTAACATTTTTTTCTGTTTAACTGTTTTGATTTTGCTTTATAATATAAGCCCTATCATTTCACATCAGTGACAATAAATGACATGATTCTCAAACTTGTTGCACATTATATTTTAGCAAATCATACCCCAATAAGATGAAAGACAAGAGACAGTCATTTAAAGTTGAGAAATTAAAAGTAAATTGTTGTGTTAATAAATGCCACAATTAATTTTATACAATGTTTTATTTTAATTTTAAATATTTGGTTTGTAATACAAAGAAGCTGAAAGCAACAGCCTATATGATTCAGAGTAGCTTTAATATTAATAAATAACCACTGTAGGTTTCAACATCATCAATTTGTGATAATTCAATTAAGGCAACTTATGCAATAAATTTTAAAATTAAAAATAGGATCAATGTTTATAGTCCAAGTAAAAGATGCTATTAAATGATTTCACAATAGATTAGTTCAAGCTTCCATTTTTCCAATTAAAGTTGTTGACCTCATTAATTTAACTAGAATGTGTGTGTTGAAATTTTGTTTTCAAAGTTAATGAAAAGTATTATGTGCAAAATATTGGATTAGCCATGGGTTTCCCTAAGTGACCTTTGTAAGGATAGTTTTGAATGTATTGCTCCTTTTAAACCTGATTGTTGGATTAAATTTTTTGTTGGCACTTTCTTATTTTGGTGGCATGGAGGTATTGAGTTAAAAACATTTGCTGTTTATCTAAACAATGTTAATCCTTCTAAATCTATTCAGTTTACATATAAGATTGAACAAGATAATTGGCTACCTTTTTTAGATGTACTTGCTAAAAGAAATAACAATGGAACTATTTCCACAACCATTTATTGGAAACCATACTCATTCTCTGTGCTGCCATGTGAAAGATCATGTCACTCATTTTCTCAAACACTAGCAGTTTTTCATACTTATATAGACAGAGCATTTAATATTTATTCTGATTATATTAATTTGAAAAATGAATTGAATTACAAAAATAACATTGCTATTGATATAGATTGTAATGTTTACATCACTGAATGTATAATACAAAAAAAAACATATAACTCAAGTTTTATTAAACAATGTTTATGATAATAAAATTAATCATGCAGTAATATTATCATATGTACAAGGTTTAACTAGCAAAGTCCATAGTGTATTTAGAAAACATAATTTTATTCTGATTCTTAAATCATTTGACAATACTTCTTAGTACTAAAGATAAAAAAAAAAGATATTTTAGATGAAAAAATGTACATATCAAATTAGGTGTGAATGCAACAAAAATTATCTTGGTCAAAATAAATTGAATTTGAAGTAGTCTTAATGGATATAATAAAAATATGCGTATTTCTCCTGTTGCTGAACATGTTATTGAAACAGGTCATTCAGTACAATGACATGAATACAGTGAACTTAGCACTCAAACAGAATTGAATATTAGAGAATCAATAGAAATTTTGTCTGTAAATGAATTAATTCTTTGTTAAATAGAATGCTGGTGATAATTCACAGTGTTGGAAAGAAATATTGACATCTTATGTATAATCACATCACCCACATAGATCACAGTGAGTTAAACCTTTTCTCTATAAAACTGTCTGCTTGTTTAGTAGGTTTTTCTCTTGATGATTGTAGCTTAAAGCTGCTAAAACATGTAATCTTTTAGTTTTGGCCATTGGCCAAATAAAATTTTTATTGTTCATTTTAAGCATTGATCCTATTTTTAATTCTATCATCAGTTTGTGTATGGCCACTCGATCGTATTAGACTTGCCTTATGTTTGTGCAAAACAGCAGACTACTGTTACTGGCTGGCAGCTAGTTTCCTTTTACCCAACTAGTCATTTCCATGCATGCTGGTGATGAGTCAGGAAGTCAGAATAAGTCCCTGCAACAAGAACATCCTGCTTACAGATTGTTGGATATTTGAGATATGCAGTGTTTTTATCTTGTGTGGTTAAAGAAATGCATTATGGCTAACTTGTGCATGAATGTGGTATTTCTACTCACCAAATTTTGAAGCCATGCATATGTTCATTCACATGAAGTGCTCTTATCTGTTTATGCATATACCTACATACCATCAACTTTCTTTTTTTTATTGCTTTTTTTTCCTTTTTTGGTGTTTGATACATATATATCAAATGTCATTGAGTTAAGAAGAAATTTTCTATTTCTATTTGAAATATCGAAGCCCTAGAAATTATTGTCTTAACAATTTTAATGACAGATTTTTAGATGTTTTATAGGAAAATAATGTAAAAAAAGCATGTTTTAGGAGAAAATAGATATAAAAGCATGTTTACATTTCCTACATTCCTGTTTATTGAATATAATTTCTTCAATCTCTGTGTACAAGTATGTTTAAAAGATAGTTGATATTTATCAAACAAATTGTGTTTTTATCATTTCAATATTTAGAGACCTAGCTAAAACAGGACCTAAGGATGAAGGAAGTATTATCTTCAAACCTGCTAGGTCAAAGGTTAGGAATTATTTTTTCACTATTCTTTGTATTATAATACTTTTTTACTAATTGGTAAAACAAGATGTTCTTTATGGAACATGGGTACAGGTATTTTATTTTTGATAAAAATGTTATTTATACAACATTTTAATGTCAATATAGTTTAAATCTAAAATTACTCTAAGAAAATGAAGTAAATCAATGTTCACAACTTTTTTTTTCCATTTTTCACACATATTGTATATTCTCTTTAAAATAATATTGAATGACTTTAAATTTAAGATTTACATTTATGTTGTTATAACTTTGAATAAAGCAGAAGCTACTATATCATCCCCTCCTACTGAGATTTTTTGCATCATAATGCTTTTTTTGTTTTGTTTTTTCATTACAAATGGTTTAAGTTGTGAACAAAATGTCTTTATAGTATTGTATGTGTATATTGAGAGAATTTTCTAACTTTTTGTGTAGTTTTATTTGAAATCTGTTTAAATCGTAGTGGCTCAAAGTTTTATTGGTTTTGATATTAAAATTATATCATCAGGTATATCAAATTTTTCTCTTGTTTGATTTCTTATATAGTATTGTTATTGTAAAGATAATTAAAAATTTACATGTGTAAAATAATGAATTGTTCTTTGACAATAGGATGCCACTCTTTTTGTGATTCAAGACTCACAGTTTGTGCTAAGTTTATAATAGTAATCTAGTTTTCTTTAGAAAAAGAACTTTAAAGTATTTTATTAATGGGTTCCTTTATTTTACATGACCTCGTAACCACCATGAAACCATGAAAGTATACGTACTATAACTCTGAAAGTACTTACTGTATCTTCGTGAAATTTGGCAAGCTTTTAGTAAACATTACAAGTGTTTTGTACACGAAAGATTAGATTTTTTAAATTAACTTGATTTGACCGACCACTTGACCTCTTTGTACTAGTTTAAAGTTAATAGTTTTCTTAATACTTCTAACTTTCAATATAGTGTGTACATCTTCACAAAATTTGGAAGTCTTTCATTTAACATTGTAAGTCTTTCACATTATGAAAAATCATATTTTTTTAGTGAAGTATTTTTAATAAACTAAAATAAAGATTTGTTCATGAATATATTGATTATTTGTTGTGAATAGTCCATGTGCAAAGTCATTTTCTTCATTTCAAAAATCTCAAATTTCCTTTGTTTAATCCCTAAAACCTCCTAAATACATTTCAAACGTTTTTTTTTTCGGTAAAACTATATATATTTCATATGTTACTTTCTCTATCCTAACTCAAAATGGAACCAAAAGAAAAATTGAAATTACCTTTTTTTCTTTCTAGAATGACTTAAAATTGTAACATGAAACTACATTAGTTTATCCTAAGTATCTTTATGCTCATAACAGTATACATCTATTTATAGGTAAATTTTATTGTTTTATTGCCCTCCTAATTTCCCTTTGAACCATGTCTAACTACTATCCGCACCATAATAAGCTGTAAATCACTCAGGGCACATGCAGCTCACATTACTCTGTCGAATTATATTATCCATATGCTGTTCGTATGCGTGCCTCATGAAACGTTTTTATTATAATTTATTATTATTTATTTTACCTAATCTAATCTTAACTAACCTAAAAGATCCATATATTTACATTTTAGTAACTTTTATAATTGTATATAAAGAATAAACATGAAAAACAAGAAATAAAGTACTTACCCAATCTTTTTTTCTTGCTGTTGATGGCACTTAATCCTACTTTTTTTATAATAATGCTAGTAATGCACTAAATTTTTATTTAATTAAATAATGCATCAAAGAACATAGACTAGTAACATGCAAAAAGTAGGCAATTTACCCTAACTCTTAAAAATTTTCTAGTTTTCTAACTATGCGACAAGAGGTGTTACAAATTCATTCAGGAATGAATTGTGTATTATAAATGAAATTGATGCTTGTCTGTTCAGAACACAATGTTATACAATACGTCATTTGGTAGATGAAAATTTTCACTTTCTATTGGTTGTAGGTAATATATAATTAAATGTAAGAGTGAACTGTTAACAAATCCTGTAGCAGGAAGGGTCTGATTTTCCACTTGGTAGCTCTGTAACCAAACAAAATTGAAGGCAAAAATTATGATTTGTTTGAGCAATGATGATTTTATAGTGAGTAATCTACATTTAATTTCGTAGTTATTGGAGGGGTGGTGGATAAAATAGAGGCAAAAATACCTAGAGAAAATGTCACTAGGGAAATTCAGGATTTTTTTTTAAATATTGCTTTGTAGAATTTAGGACTTGTATACTATCAAAATATGGATTATTAGCTAAGATTTTATGCTATACTAATTAGTATAACATAAACAAAGAATAGTTTAATAAAGTTTTGAATGTAAAACACTAAAACATTATGTCATGTGCAGTAAAGGATACTTGTGGTGATAGGGTTAAATAAGCATTTTGATGTGTCTTCATCTTCAGGAGTAACGTAAAAGGCTAAAGTAGATTTTTGTACTTATGCACTTGGTATTAGTTGTGATATTACGTTCTATGCTATTTTCATAACTTACTGGCCAACCTTTATAGTAGGCCATGCCATGTACCTGTATAGTGATAAGCTGTTTGATACAATTTTTTTTAAATTTATTGTTTGTACATGTTATGTTATAGCTGAATTTTCAATTTCATTTGTTGTTTAATGTTTGTTTCGTAACCTGTATTTTAAACTCTTTTTAGTTTATTCAACATAAATACTACCACATATACATTTTATTTTATAAATTTGAGTTTATCTTTGGCATTCCCCAACATTTCTTTAATCTTGTTCATAGGTTTGAAGATGGGATAAATTTTTTTGTTCTTTCTTGAAGACATTAAGTAATTGACCTGTTATTCCTGAAATATAAGGTAAACTTAGATGTTTTTTGTTTTTATTTTAGTTTTCTCATAAACAGATCTTAGTGTTGTGTTTTCAAGCAATATTTCACCATTACTGAATTTATTTAATACTCTATCTACAATATTTGGTTTAAATCCTACTTAATAACAACTCATTGCTTAAATCTTCTTGCTTAGTATGTATTTTCCAAGCTTTGTAAACATTTAGGTTTAAAATGCAGAAATTTTTTATGTTCTTGTAGTTCATGGTTCATGGATACAATTTTATGGGATAAAACTATAATTCTAGCTCAACCTCACAGTATGCCCGCTGAGAATATTAGAAATAGTAAACTTTAAGAAAGAAAAATAGTATTAAACTAAGATGAAGGTCCAGCTAGTCATTGTTTTAGTATATGACGTGACCTAAAGGTTGGCCAGTAAGTTATGCGGATTATGTAGTACATAATATCACACGACTTGTAACAAGTGTATAAATAGTTTGTAAGCTATGCCTAAAGATGACGTAGACACATGAAACATTTTCGATGATGAGGAACCCACTTTGAGACTAATGACGCTTGGAGACAGTTTGAATGGGTAATGA